AATACCCATGATGAGTGTATGGAAACTTCTGATCACTGTATAACTCCTTCATTACTTCTTATCATTTGGGCTGCATGTTTGAATTCTATAAGCTCTGATTTCCATTGGTTTTGATGCTTTCATGTTGTATTTTGAAGACAAGTGGACTGATACAAAGTTTAAGTAGGGTTCTTCAAGCATGTGGCTCCCTGTCTTTAGCCTGTGATTAACAGTATCCTCACTCTGATCCACACAATGCCAGATCTTTTTATTCTGCAAGAGTAAACCCCGGGGTCTTGTTTATTTCCGAAGCAACATCTCTCCTGATGTGTTTTTTTTCCATCTCAGCACCTCTGTATCTTTGTTGTGAATAATGTACAATGACCTTTCTCACTATCAAGAAGAGAAATAGCTTCATAATGAATGCTGGGCTCTTTCTGGCATCATCACTGTCAGGGCACAGGGGCATTGTTGGTCCAGGGACATTACTATTTCAGCTCCTGTGAGGTAATATTAGAGCAGGCTTTCCATCAACCTACAACCTCTGTGTGATATAACACAAGGCTATTTTCAGCCAGCGGCTGTCAGGACTGGATAAGAAAGTAAAGGCATGAAAGGGCGCCTGGGATGCTGATTCTGGCACCTCATGATTGTTCTTCATGGAAAAGTTTTAAATGATTTTTATGCGTTTGAAATCTGATGCTTGCAAAGATGTCAGAGGGGTAACTCACTATTTTAAGGCTATTAATTTACAGTGCTATTAGCTTCCTGTGGTACACAGTTTTCTTGTTTGGTTTCATTGTTTAATTTGGGCTTTGAGGTGATATTTTTCCAAATTCTGCAAGGTCAGAAGATTAAATGTATTTAAATTATTTCTCTCTCCTACTGTAGCCCATTTTATCAGCTTAAATTAAGTTTCACATATTCCTAGAATGTATCTTCAAAGTTTCAGCTCAGCAATACCTCACCGATCGCTCGCAGATGCATGTAGCTTTAAATGCAAATTTGCTGCTCCTGGCCACACCCATGGATACCAATCAATAGATAATAACCAATACCCAAATTAGAAAGCATTTATTCTGGGTTTAATTAATATAAATAATGGAATGGTTAATGATAGGTATGAATATTTTTTTTATGATATAGCCCTGAGGACAGCGTTTAATGGTTGTAATGGTTATAGATGGTTATAATAATAACTCCTAACTGTTCTTCCAAGTTTCATTTTCAATAAAATATATTAAAGCCATCATTACTGTTGTGTTTTCATGACTTAGGTAAAAAAGGGCATGCTGTTGGGGGATAGATGCTGTTTTTCCAAAACAGTATCGTAAAACCTAAAGGATATACTCTTCCTGCTCTTTGAAATATTATTAAGGATTAGTCATCCAGTTAATAATGTCAGAATATTACAATACTTTGTTAAATCATGACCTATGAAGACTGTGTAATGGTTAAACTGAAGAAAAGTAAAACAAAAAGATACAAATGAGATGTTTTTGGTGAACTTGAAACGATGAGCTGCTTTTGCAAGGAGTTGCAGGTGAATAAAGACCAAAAAATAAGTAGAGTATCGCTAGGGGGTTGCCAGGCAACAAGATGGCTTTTGTGGATATAAATGAGAAGTTATTGTCACAGAATAAAAACGATATGATGCTATTATAAGGCGTTACAGGTGCACAAATGCTAAAACCATGTCATTTTAGCCCATTGCTATGTGGTTGCCAGGCAACTTGATGATGCCATAATATCTACTGTAGATAAAAAACCACCAGGGGACTATTATGCACCTGTGTGCCAAGTTTGGGGCTCAACTCATGACTGTGTGGAAGAAGAAACAAGCACACACAAACATGCTTATTGCTTATGCTTCAGAGATATGTATGTGAAATTTGCCATTTTTTAAATTTTTTTGGTGGCAATCCCAGTAGATATGTCAAGAAAAAGCAACAATTGGATCAGATACGGAGGGTAAAGTCCAAAGTGGGACATTTATATTAGATAGATAGACAAAATTACTCACCCTTCTTGGCAGTCTACTCTAATTAATCACAGGTTTTCATATAACCGAAGCTCATCTGTCTGTGGGCTTATTGAGGGCTTGGTCTGTGGGGAAGTGGAGTGCTGGCGGATTACAGTTGGCTTTTGGTGGATCACATCCACTACTGCAGTCATGCATATCCTATCAACGGCTAAGCTCATGAGTGTGGAGCGAGTCAATTCTAAGGCCCAAATCCCAATCCGATGGTGTGAGAGGAGAGACAGTGTGACCCTTTGGTGACACAGCGGTCACGCAGTAAGCCAGCTCAAATGGTGGACTGTCAAATGTCCTGGCGTCAGAGGACGATGATGAAGGCAGTCTCACGCGACTCTTGGGAAGGCTATTCAACTTTGTGTTCTAAATGTAATTATTACAGAAAAAACAAGTTTAAAAGAATAGAAAGAAAAAAGAAACAAATCTGGAGACAGGAGCCAAAATGACTTAGAATTTGTTTATTTATTTATTAAATACAGCATATTACACTCATGTTGATAATCCGTATATACTAGTACTTATATCGAGACATTGTTTTAAAGTTCAACTCTTTATTGCCGCACATGTTAAACCGAATGTTTAATTTTCTTCTTTTTATACAGTGTAAAAAAATGAAATGAATCCTATGAACAGACAAACATGTCCTTTGTGCTACATATTACAAAGTGGTGTTAACGTTCAGGACATGATGACACTGATAAGACACATGCTGCACAATGGACACTTGGTAGGACAAACAAACACAAAAATAATAATTCCACAGGAACAGGAAAAATCCTTCACGCAGTGCATTACTGAAAGTCTGGCTTCCAGTCAGATCTGATTGTTTCACTGATGCTAACTCATACGTGGTAGCCAGCCCCTTGATCATTGTTGGCAAAAGAAAACAAAAAATGACTGGAAACCAGGCTTTGCATTTAGTAAAGCAACATCTAACACTTTCAGTCACCGTGTGCATTATTTCATTCACATCCACTGAGTCTAGCACCCTCAGACCTACGTTAAGGACTCGTTTTCAACATTTGAAGAAAGAAAACCTTGTGAAATTTCCATACTCTCATTTGCTCTGTTCAACCTTTGGGATGCACTTTCATTTTTCTCATGAAATGAAGTGCTTTGCATTAAGGAATTTTTCAACTTACATAGTGCAATTTTACATTCCTCGTCATTGATGAATTTGTCTCCATGTCGTAAAACTATTTGGTGCATGAATGGAAGAATGAGTCAAAATAAAAGTGCATGCAGGAGACATACACACAGGAACAATTCAAAATATGCTTGTTCGATTTCGCAGTGTGGGATAGATAAGGAGGCTGACACCACTCCACTCTCGGTCTGCTACATATGAAGCTGCAGCCAGAGGCCGGTTACTTGATTAGCATAAAGAATGAAAGAAGGGGGAAACTAGCTCAGCTTGGTTATCCCTGTAAAGCTCTAAAACAGGTTGATTTAGGTAGACTTTTCCTTTTTTTTTTCTTTTTTTTTAAATTAAAATGGCAGCCTCAACTAGCGGACTGACAAATATACGTTGCTTTTATACATTGAGGCCAAGGGCTATTATAAATGAGCCCTTCGTCATCAGATGGTTAGCAGGTTTCTGTGGATGTCCGTGTGTCTGCCTATTCTTTTTGCAGACAGTTTACATGATAATGAACTAACAGAGCATAACCTAGGCTTTAAGCATTGATTATACTCTGTTGCAGAGATGGACATTGATTTACAGTTCGAGACTCAATAGCTGCGTAGTTTTTTCTGTTACACTTCTCTGAAGTCTGTTTTATGCCCACTGCCTGGGATAGATGGGTAGCTGGTCCACTGTTATTTAAATTCTTCACAGACGACTCCGTGCAGTCACAAAAAACAGGCAGGTACGCAGATGCCCACACAGATGTTCGCACGCACTGATGACAAAGACATCCAGTGGACTTGAACCAAATAGATCAGCAATTAAGATCGTAGAAGGACTTTGTGCTAGTGGAGCTTTTCGTTACGTCGGAGGGCATATCCTATCATGAGATACCTCAGAGAACCAGGGTTACACGGGTAACCAAACACATTAAAGTCACTCATGAGACTAGGAAATATACTGTGTTCCAACTGAAGAGTTGGAAATCCCAACTTTGATGTAGGACTTTCCAATTTGAACTCTACACAAGCTTTTTATTTTTTAATTTTTGGGGGGGGGGGGAGCTAAATTACTTAATAACTCAAAAATTATGAGTTATGCATCTGAGAAGTCAAAATTATAAACTACAAAAAATTTGGAAATAACCCAAAATACGATATTTTCCACGTACTACTACTACAGCTGGAACGGTCAACTCGAGAGTGGCGTCACTCCTACCTCTGACAACTTCAGCGTTAAAAGAAACAAAGCTTTAGTCCAGGGACTACATTATCTGTCTGTGTGTGGTAAAGGTGAGTACTTATTATTATTGGACAGATTTTAGGCAAACCTATATTTTAATACTTATTTTAGACCATCTGATGTAGCAAAATGTCAACTATGCAACAAATAAATAAATAAATAAGATAAAAACCAATTAAATTTGCACTTTTTTGCTTTAAAATGTGTAATTACTATGCAGCGAGCTCAAACTACTGCATTCGAGGACTTACCTTTCTTTATGAGTGCTTTCTGATTATTTATTAACAGCGACAAAAATTATGCCAAAATATAAGAGCTTTGCAATTTCATGTTTAATTTGTGGGTACTCCTCTCCCGTGACAATTCTTCTCCTGGCAACGAGAGGGAAGTATCCCTTAGTAACATTACACTAAAATGCAGAGAAAAAGTATTTTCCCTCTTCCTGATTTGTTTATTTTTTTGCACATTTATTAAATTACATTACTTACATGGTTCAGATCATCACACAGATTTTTATGTATTTACTCTGGTTATCTTTGTTAAATATTAAAATTGATTTTGCTGATCTGAAGTATGAAAATATTAAAAAGAAACCCTAAGAACTCAGGAAGAGGGAAAATACTTTTTCACGGCTCTGCATTTTATTTAGAGCTTCAGAGGCGCTGCTTTCCTCTGCTTCCAATCTTTATGCTTCCAATCTTTAAGCTATTCATCTCATGATATTAGCATCATATTTAAAAGAAAGTGAATTCAAGCTTCACAACTGCAAAGACAAAAATATGAAACTATTACTTTAGAAGAAAATAAATAACTTTGTGTGGACGTAAACTTAGAAAAACTCAAACTCCAGGAGAATAACTGAGAAAGTACAAAGGAGGGAAAGAAGTTAAGGAAATAAAAAAAAATCCCTGAGGGCTAAAATCCTACAGATGTCTTCATGATAAAAGCAATAGAGGATGCTTCATAAAGAAAAATGATTGGAATCTCATGTACAGTACTGATGATTGCACACGGTAATCACATAATTCTTTAGCTAGCTAATGCACAAATGGGCACAGATTCAGTATTTCAGCTGTGACATGAACAGCTTTGCTTGCAGGACTACAGACTTTTAACTGTATGGAATCAATAAATTAATGCTGAGTGCAACACAAATGCTGCATTCAATAAAATGTGCCCTTTAAAATGAGAAAGAATGAGGATTTTTTTTTTTTTGCTTGTGGCAGCAAAAATAGAACAGACCTATGGAGGGCAAGGATAGAAGAAGTCATCAGAAGAAAGAAAAACTGCAGAACTGGTCTGGTAGAGAGGAAAAGGTAGATGCAATGCAGAAAGGGCTGAATAAGGTATAAAAAACAAGAATGGGATTTAAAATGGAAGAAATAAAGGACAGAATGTATCAAGAAGACATAATAAAAATGTAAAACTAGAACATCAGTTACATCTTCTTATCAGGAGAGGTCTTTGAGTTGGTTGCTTTGCTCAATGACCGCCTTTGCAAACTGCTTGAAGACTCGGTCCATATAAGTGCTCTGACGTGGCCACAGGCCCTCCAGGAAACCAATATGGCCGCCGTGATGGGTAATGAGCATGGCCAGGTTAGGGTTCTGTTTCACTGCCTCCACTGGAATGGCTGCAAACAAAACACAGAATTCACTTTTTCTTTTGTTTTTTTTTTTTTTTGCTTAATCTCTGTGCAATCTCTTTACATGACATGCCAGAATGTTATCATTAGTTCACGTAGTTGAAGTATTTTCACCCATGAACTGGACTTTGGACTGGAGACTCACCGTGAGATGGAGAAAAGACATCGTCAGCAGCGTTGAGACATAGCATTGGCACCTGCACAGATTTGAGCCTGTGGACAGGACTGGCATCGTGGTAGTAGTCGTCATTGGTAGGATAACCAAACATTATGGAGGTGAACCTCTCGTCAAACTCTCGGATGGTCCTTGCCTGTGGGAATGCGGTAAAACGATTTATTCGGTCTACTTTATTTAATGAAATTGGCATGGCTTAACGCCGCTGAAAATAATCCCCTACCTTCATGACATGATCAATGTCGTAACATTTTTCGAGCACTGGTCTGTGCCTGCGGGGCAGATTTAAAACAAAAACAAAAAACAGGTCACTAACTGCTGTTAGGTTACATGACTTGCATTTGAAAATATTCCCCAGAAATGCTGACAAGGTTGTAACAATATAATAATCTACCCCGGAAAAGAAAAGATAAATTCAAAAAAAGCTTTTTTCAATAAAACATCAACATCGATATGAGAACATTCCTCCTGCTAATGAAATTCAGCTCCTCACACATAGCCTTCATTTCCTCTCAGCATGATCCCGGTTTGTGCAAACGTTGTCATCAGTATTTGTCTTAAATAGCAATATTCTAAAGAACACAATTGGTTTGATGATAAGCTAATATCAGTTATATTTATTTAAAATAAGCATGAACTGATATTCTCATTCGCTTCAAGAGAAGTAAAAAACGTGGGGGTTGTAGAGGCTGCGAAAAATGGGCCGTTTTAGCCCGTTGCTAGGCAGCTTCAATTCAACTTTTGTGGATCTAAATGAGTTGATGCTTTTGTTAAATGTTAATTGCATAAATGCTAGAAAAAATTGCAGTTGCTAGGCAACATGAAGATGCCATTTGTGGATGTCATTTGTGTATTATATAAGAATATTTTTATCCATCTATTAATTCTGGACTGTGGCTTTTTGAACTTTTGGCATTGAATTCATTAGCTGTTCATAATGGTGTCTATTGATCCTAATTTATTCTCTAGCATTTTTGGAGCCTTTAGTTCTTGTTATAATTTATTTTTCCAGTTTCATTTGTTTCCTCAGTGTTTCCCGTCTTCTCCTCTTGTCAATTCTTCTTCGTTTAGTTCAGTCCCGTGTCTGCGTTTCCCTGTTTATTGTTTCTCACTTCCTGCCTTATCTTAGGCGTTATTTCTCACTTGTGTTTTGTGTTTAGTTTTACTTCACCTCATGCCTCAATGTCTTTCATTACAATCACATGTGCCTCATGACCCTGCTGTGTCCACTTCTACTAATTACCCTCATGTGTAGAAATAGCACTGTCTTCTCCTCAGTGTTTATCAATCCACCCTTGTGTTGTCCCTGGCTATTAAATCAGTTATTAGTCCTTTAGTCTGTTATTAGTCTGGATTTCTGGATTTACTATCATCATCATCATCATCATCATCATCATCATCAATGCAATAAAGGTGCTCTTTAGGTTTACACTCAGCTATTTATCCATCCTGCATTTGACATATGGTTACACAGCAAATGACAGTGAGACAGCGAGGGGAAGTCTCGATTACCCAGAGTGACACCATGTAAAGGTGGTTCAGCCTTGACCTTTACCTTTGACCCTGTTGCTGGAAGGCAACAGTGCAAACCACTACATCATCATAATTATTATTTACTTAATTATGATTAAGCATTTATTGATTTCCGATTAGGCTTTTACCTTATTAAAATATTTGTTTTGTCATATTGTAATTTATCGAGCTGTCACTAGTCTACGTATTTGAGCTATTTAGTTTTAATTCAATTTTCTAACCGGATAAATAAAAAATATCTTCTTTTACTTCTTCTTCTAACACAATAACTTAGGAAAAACTCAGTGATATCCAATAAGAAAAATGATGAGGCAGCACTAGGTAAATATATATATATGTATATGTCATTGCTCATATTAACACACAAGTAGGAATATATTGTGGATATGTAGTCAGGCTTTGTTTACATGTTTTGTTCATCACCTAACAAATAATAAAGCATACCCCTCCCCCCCACAACTTTTAAATGAGCAAACCAAACATAAATATTTGAAACCCAGTTGTTCAAGCCTCTGTTTAGAATCTAGCACTGGCAGTGACTTAGTGGCTGTGTTAATCCCTGCTCTGGCCCTGGCTGACCTGTGCACAGAGGCTTGTAGGCAGCTGGTGAGGTAGGAGTTGAAGAGGAAACGGTCCAGGGGTTTTTCCAGTGAAGCGGTGCACTCAAACACATCCCAGCCCGCTGAGAAGACCACGACCCCTTTCAGACAGGTTTCCCGGCCCTTGCGCCCCAAGTAGTTTGCCAGCATCATCCTGAATATGGAGAGAGAGAGATGAAGGGACAGAGGGAAACTGAATGACCAATCCCCCAATTCAGAGGATTACCGTTGTGCAATAAAAAACACATTATTTGGCAGACAACTGGAAAATAATAAAACAAAGCACTGACATGTCCCCAACACAGAGTAAATGTTCAATATCTCACAGTTTACTAAAGCTGCATCGTGAAAAGTAGCTTTAATGTTTATTCTGACTTTTATTAGCAGTATGTGCAAGCTAGCTTGTAAAGAGTGGCTCCATTACCCGCCCATGGACACTCCTGCAGCCATGAGTGGAGCAGCTTCATAGGCCCTCTGGATGTGTTCAAGAACAGTCTCCAGATCCTCTGTGTTGGCTGCACAGTAGGTCCTTGGGGTCTGGGTATGACAGCAACATAACACAGTCACTCCTGCCTTTCTGATTCTTTGTCTCTGTCAAAACCACGATGAAGACCCAACAAAAGTGAAAACTGGAAACTTAGTATAGTAAAAACTTAGATGACATTACAGTTTATTAGTTTGGTAGGGCAGCTGTTTCTTCTAAAGGATTTTATGGAGACAGGCTGACAGTCCACAGACATACTGAAATTCAAACTGTGCATCAGAATAGAGGAGAAAGGTGATTTAAATGAATGTGATGTGGTTGTTGGTGCCAGAAAGGCTGGTTTGAGTATTTCAAAAATTTCTGATCTGCTGGGATTTTTCCACACTGCCATCTCCAGGGTTTACAAAGAATGGCCTTCAAAAGAGAAAATATCCAATGAGCTGCAATTCTCTGGGTGAAAATGTTTGTCCAGAGGCCAGACTGCTTTGAACTGGCATTTAGGTAACAGCTACTCAAATAACAAGGCATGCAGAACAGCATCTCTAAACACACACGTTAAACCTTAAAGCAGATGGGCTACAGCAGCAACAGAAGACCACAATGACTATCACTCCTCTCAGATAAGAACTAGAAAGAGAGGCTCCCATTGGGACCACCAAAATTGGGCAACAGAAGATTGGAAAAGTGTTGCCTGGTCTGATGAGTTGAAAGCAATGGATACGTCCTGCCTACTATCGATCATTCAAGCTTTTGCCAGTGATCTCATGATAATATGGATATTTTCTTGGCACACTTTGGGCCCCTTGGTAACAACTGAGTGTTGTTTAAATGCCCTAATCTACCAGAGTATTGTTGCTGACCATGTACATCCCATTATGACCACAGTGTACCATTCTTCTGATGGCTGGTTCCAGCAGGATAACGCACCGTGTTATCACTAAGGCTTAAATCATCTCAAACTGGTTTTTTTTTAATATGTCACAGAGTTCTCCGTATTCAAATGCCCTTAACAGTCAGTATCAATCCAATAAAGCACCTGTGATGGAACCAAAGATGTGCAGTAAATAAATCTGCAGCAACTGGGTGATGCTACCACAACAATATGGACCAAATTCTCTGAGGAATATTTTCAGCACCTTATTGAATCTAAGGTAGCTCTGAAGGCAAAGGGCATTCCAATTCAGTAATAGCATGGTGTACATAATGAAGTCTCCAGTGAGTGAACTCTATTGAAACCTTCAGTCATTTGCTCAGTAGACCACGAGAATCTCCTCTCTATAAAGCCATGAAAAGTGGATTCACATTTACCTGTTCACGCTGTGTATCTACATAAAAAATGTTTTAGCAGGCCTGCACAGGATAACCCATTTTTCTGAGACTCATTATTATTGTTTATTTGGCAATTTCTGAGTATGATAAGAATGCTGTTCTGTGTATGTGGGGGTGACATTTTATTCGACTTGAAACAGTGTTATCACTCAGTGCAGGCTACTTAACATTTAAAACAAGCCTGCTCTAACTTGAAGGAGCCTATTTAACAAGTCCAGTTTCTCAGCTCTCCAAGGCTGCTCATTAGGATTCAAGAAGAAGCTCAGGCAAACTATATTCCTGCTTTTCTGTTCTCTTATGCTTCCTTTAATAGTTCTGGACAAGAGCAGAACTTTAATAGGCCACCAGATCTTACTATGCTTATTTTTTATTGAATATATAACAAAACAACAAATTAATAATGTCTCAGGGGAACAGACTTAGCAGAGTGAACATATTCACTGCAAAGCAACTCCACAGGAGAGTGTAATGTAATAGGCGTTTTCTCAAGGTCTGGAAATAGGGCTATAGCACTTAGGGATAATCTTTGTATCAGTGTGCATCTTTCACACAGTGGGCCATTTGGAAAAACTGGCCTGGTTGAACAATGGAGGATATTCACACTTACTGGACAGAGAAGCATACAAGTGCTAAAGCATTTGCACTGAATATCGCACCATTTTCTCCACTGACAGAGGGAGAAAACTGCCCCAACGACCTGGTACGGTGCCAGGATTACAGGGTCCAGCTCAAATGTAATAACAGCTGAACCAACTGAGTTCTGGATGTAAACCCCAATCAAACACAGTGACACTGGATCCTTTGCTCTTGTTTCAAATCTGAAGGTTTGATTTTGTGCACTCTCTCCAGGTGATAAAACACCACTTTGACTAAAATCTCTATGCAATGGTGATAGTAAATGTAGCAGGTAGTAGAAGGTATCTCTATTCTAAAGCAGAGACATGCAGAGAGTGCAGAGAGTGGAGCCATTAAATGCAATGTGCATGGAATACAATATCCAAGTTTGAGCTAATTTGTATTAGCTCAATATACCCGAGTGCAAGAGGAGAGATTAAGCCAGGTGTCGGGACAGCACGTGTTTGGCGAGCTCATATTTCTGTGGCTCGGCATTAAAATACAGTATCTGTCTGTAACTTAATCCCTGCTGTGCAGCAACATTGTCTGTTCGGCGTCCACTGAGGCTCCCTGTGGGCTCTGCGACACGTGTGCAACAGAAGAAAAAGAGCAACTCTACAGGGAGGTCAGCTGTCCTAAACAGTCGTGTCTGACGCTGTGAACATGGAAGGCGCTCACGGACGAAAAAGAAGAAAAAAAAGGGAATGAAATCTTTGACACGTGTTGGAACAGATCTTACCAGTAATGTTTCACCAGAAACTCCTCTGTTGTTGAAAACCACGCATCTGAAATCCACAAAACATATATAATTTTAATAATCACCGTCAAATTTAATGGGCAGCAGGTAAATGTTACATTTTGAATATATTAGATTGAGTTTGTCGAGAATGTAGTGCTGTTTCTTGACATTTTATACATAATATATATTACTATAAAAACTAACTGCATGCTGCAAAGTAATTGTCTATGTTGTACATGTGTATGTAATATAAGGAGATCTGAACTGATTAGTGCATTAAACAACCACTGACTAGCTCTTTTACTCAGCTTTCCAGAAGAAAATCCAAAGTTTGCTGATAAAACATCCTCAAATGTGCCTTCGATTGGTGTAAACTAACCAACTTCAGATTTCAAACTGGCTAAATCGCTAGTAAATGGCTTATTTTTTACATTTCCTTCCAATTTCAGGATTTTACAGATAATCAAAAGCCTATAAAAGCTCACGTCCAAATGAAAGCAACAGCCCAGATTTCTTTATACAAACATTTCTTACATAAAAGAAATGAACTGTGTATACGATGAAGTGCGCAGGGAGGCACAGCTGTGTGAAGGAACTGTGCTTGTACTGCAAAGCAAAGGCATCAGCATCTCGCCAGTCATCTATTATCTGCTGGAGTCAGACCTGCTGTTTTTATAATCGGCATAACTCAGCAGCAGCAGCAGCAGGGCAGAGCTGTACAGGGTGCTGGGCGAGAGGAGGGGGGAGAAGGAGGTGGTGGTGGTGGTGGAGTGCTTAAACACACGCTGCAGCATACACTCGGAGGCTGGTCCGGGCTAAGCTGCAAAGCTTGTACCCGGATAAGCTGTAATTAATTAAGCTACACAGACAGGGGAGAGGGGTGGAAGATGCTGAGTTTGCCGGCTCTCTTCCCATGCCTTTCCAAATCTGTGTGAAAGAATGAGTGCAGAGAGAACATAGACAGGGCCTATTGGAGATGAAGGAAAGTGGAGGGGGAAAAAAGTGCCTCCCTCTGCAACTCTTCAAGCTCGAGCTACATTTGGCTATTTACAAAAGCAGCTCTCGACACGGAGCTTAGCTGCCCACTTTATTTGTGATTTCACCTCAAATAACCCCGAGCCCCTGTCACTCATGGACCCATTATATAAAGGTATAAAAAATCTTGCAAAAGCACTATAGAACTGGTTGCAGATTTTACTTTGCAATCATGAAAGCCAGTGAAAGTTCTTTCACTTTATTTGGACATGAAATCTGCAGTCTGTGTGGATAGCAAATTAGAACATAAAGCAGAGAAATTGTCAGTTCTTTGAGTCAGCCAGGCTATTCAGCCAAGACCACCCACCTATAGCCCAGATCCCGGCTCTGTTGGACCATGTGTAAGATGTAGGACTCTCGGCTGGTGCCGGTCAGACCGGGGAGGAGGAGGACTGTGGGCCTGGTGGCAGGGTCGGGATGAGAAAGGCTGTCATTGTTGTCGAACCAATCCAAAGAGATCTGTCCTCCATCTGCTGCTTTAATGAGCTCACTGCAGAGACAAGAAGGACACGCAAGTCAGCAACACTGGTCTTCCTGACAATGATCACTCTGTGCGCCTGTATATATCGTCTTCTTCGTTTCATCCATTGTATATATACAGTATATATACAGTCAGACACAAGCATGGGACAACACTGGTGTGAAATTTGAATTAAAAAGCATATCTGCTAATGAAATAGCTATAAAAACAGTGGAAATAGTCCACTTCTTCTTTCACATCACAATTAATACTTTTAAGTAACGGGATTACTTCATTGCATCCGTTACACACGCTGCTAAAGTGGGGACTGGATATGTGAGCACAACACTCACTGACAGCTGCCTCATTTCCCTTGCGAGCACCTTGTCAGCAGACTCTGCAACACAGAGCAAATTCAAATAAAGAGGAGGCCATTGCACCAATGGGTTCTTATAGCTAATCAATTTCGTGGATGCACAACCCGTGCGTGGCAGATGATGTAATTCAGTCTCGGTGCATTTTTAAACCTGCTCCGCACACACAAACGCACACACGCGACAGCCGCTGAGCCCAACTTGGCCGTCCGGCGGTTAAGAGAGACAGCGTGAAATTACAGAACGGCCATGAAATATGCACCTGAGGCGAGACTTTAAAGTCAAGAAAGGCCAATTCGGAGAAACCAGCAGAGTCCGTGGTGCTAATCCCCAGCTATGACAACAAGCTGAGTGGAATTTCACCCAGACAGCCTACGATACATCGGACATCTTTCACGCTGTCCGTCCTTGGGTCAACCTTGTATAACTTCATTATAGGAGGAGTGTCCTGCTGTCCCCGGAGGCCATGTGATAATAACTTGAGTGAATGCAACTATCAGTCTTTCTAGGTTTGATGCGGTAGCACAGACCTCCACTAGCATCTGTACACCCAGGGGCATTATGGGAGCATTTTTCTCCTTGACAAAGATCTCTGTGAAAAGCAGAGGCAGTGTCAAAGTCCTTGTAGCAGATTAATAGTGTACAGTTCTTAATTCTTTACCGTTTCCCTTGAATTAAAAGTCATATTTAAACAAAATCAGCTGTGGTTTTATGTAAGGAATTAAGAAAACAAGGAAAAAGAATATTAAAGATTGTATTTTTGTCTTTTACTCTAATGTCTAGTACATGGTACAGACACCTAAACATAAGGACATCAGATCAGTTGTACAGTTTACAGTTATAAACACACAGACTTGGGCAAAACGCATGTACGCGAAAAATGAGGGTCTTTTTTTCCTCAAGTGAAAACAAATAAATAAGTTATACATGTGTTATAATTAAAACCAAATCTGTCTTCACTCATTCTAATCTCATATCTTGAGATATGTGGGGGGTAGGGAATGCAGTGCCAATTAATCTTCAGCAGAATGAACATTTTCAAGGAGCAGGCCTGGCGGACCAAGCCAGCACGGTGACACAAAGGATCTCTTTCTCCTCTGGGCTTTGGAGATTGGCAAAGAACAAGAGCCGGATTTGTTTCCAGTTGTGGCACTGGAAAGAACGACCAACAGCAATTTCTCAGTGAGCAAGTTTGATAAAGCCAAGCACAGTCAGCAGCAAAATACTCAAAATGTTTTCCCTGACATTTAGTAATGCTGAAATCTCTTGCGGAACAAAATTGATTCAAAGGAGAAATAAAATATAAGCTTAGAGGATGAAAGTGACAATTGGCACATCAGTCACAGCGGGGACTTACTTTCTGTAGATGACCCCCGGTTTGGCTGTGACGAAAGGTCTCAGCAGAGTCTGGATGCGGCTCTCCCAACACCAAAAGGTGGGGTAGTAGGTCTCTGACACTACTGGACATTGCTCCCTCAGAAAATGGTAGAACTTCTTACCTCCAGAGATCAGCTGTGGCTTCTGCAAAACAGACGTGAATGTAGGATGGCACAGGTTAAAATCATATAAGAGACTTCGTCTCCCTACAGGACTCATTTAAAGTGCTGTTATTTAGTCTTAACAATAGATCCATTACTGTAATAATAGATTTACTGTCACATGTGGTAAAGCTAAATCTAAATATATTCATTATCATCAAATCACATCTAATACAGACCAATACAGATCTAACTGTGACAGAGTTTGCTTTATGAGTGCATAAACCTACAGTTGTGCATGATTAATGTGCACAACCACGTTCAAGCATAGCAAGCTGCTTACTTTGCATTAAGTCACGGGTGTCAAACTCATCGGCCACACATGGCCCAATATAATCTCAAGTGAGCTGGCCTAGTTAAACAACTGCATAATAACCAACCTTTTAATGTAAAGAAATAAACACGCACACACACACACACACACAAAATTTTCTGGAAAAAAGTGGTTGCTGGAGGTTGCGGGTACTCTCCATGGCAACGCAGGTCTAAAGACCAGTCACTCACCCCCTGGCAACCACCTCTCACTAGGAAAAATGGCTATAGGTATTTCTTTAGTAGCTGGTGTAGTTTGAATGGAAGTGGCAGATTTATCCACAAACACTGGCCAGCTAGTCCCCGAGCTGTAGTGAAACGGTGAAAAGTGTGGTGCAAACTAGAAACAGATCCTGTTTTCCTTCAGTGCAAAAGCAGAGAGCCACAACTTCTATTTGAAGGCGAACATTCCCCAATTCCAGCTTGTGCTGCAAAACAAATATTTTCAACCATTTCAATCTGGTAAAGGTTTTCCTCTACTGAGAGCCAGCAACCTCCGGGATCCACTGACAAATAGTACCTGGTGGTTGTATCACATCGCTTATGGTGGGGAAGTCAGTTTAAAGCAATTTAAGCTACAGGTTTTATTACATTTTCATTACATGTTGTTGGGAATTGCATTACCAAGTTTAGAAAGCATTTATACGGACTGTGTGTGTGTCTCATCACTCACAATAACATTGTGAGTGATGAGACCTCTTCCTTTAAACTACTACCATCTCCACATTACAATTACCCCCCCCCCCCTTTCACAAAAAATAGGTCTAAACTGTCTTTTCTGTCTCAAGCCATCAAACCTCTGAAAGCAGAAGAAAGTGTGTGTATATTGTTTGCATTATTTTGATGTGATTGGTTTTTATGTGTTGTTTACAAATGTTAATCTAGGTAATTAAATCTAAACAAAACTAAAATTAGATGTGAAAAAAAACGGACTAAAATAAAATAAAATAAAATTATAAAGGCAATATCTTTAGTTTTAGTGTTTGTTAGTTTGGCAAAAAAACCCCAAACAAAATCGAAACTGAAATTTTATTGAAACTTTGCCACTCACAAGACTGTGAGTCACAAAAACTTAATAAAAGTTACAGAACTACATTTCTGGTGTATTCAAAGGTCAAGTGACTTCTGCTACAAGCAGAAATAAATAAATGCAAATTAAAAATAAAATAAACAATAAAAAATAATGATTTTTGGAACAAGAAAAAAAACCTACAGTATTTTAATCTTTATTTATGCTAAACAACTTTAGCTCTACCAACACTTAAACAGCCATACGTTTTTCATCCCTGTGTAGTACAGTGAAGAAGAAAGTGAAAAAACAAAAAGAAAAACTTCCACCCTTCCAGTAGACCGGATTGGAACCTTTGGCGGGCCGGTTCTGGCCCCCGTGCCTCATGTTTGACACCACCGCTTTAAGAGATTCTGACTGCCAATTTCACAGATCCACGTTTATTTTAACCATATTTATACATTCAAACCCTAAAGTCACAGACGAAAAGCTTCTTTTTATTCATTTAGTGAACGCTGTTCGTCTCCATCCTTTACAAATGAACGGCGGCAGCTCAGCGGGCGTTACATAACACCTTCTACCGGCATTTCTAGCTTACAGTAAAAGCTAGCCTAGCTTCCCTAATGCCGACGTCTAACTGCAGTCCTTTTCTCGTTACATACGAGCTAAACTTTAATATGGATAACACCCATTTTGGGTCTATATACGGATTAGTGTTTGCTCCGTCGCCTGACATCCGACGTACACGTGCTGCTTTGCGGCGTTATCCCTCCAGTTAAACTGATGCCAGCTAACAGACACCTCCATCAGCACCTACGCCGAGTACCATCACCAGTCCCTGGCAGTTAAGATGCTTCTCCGCGAAAGACCACACACCGCACACGGGGATTTATGTGATATACAAGCCGTATACCGTGAAGACTCCCCTCAAAAGACACAGACCCTTAAGTTAATGTCAATTACCTTCGCTACTGAGATCAAATAGTAGCAGGTGTACGCCGCGCTGAAGCCCAGCACCAGAGACAGACCCACTCCCGAACCGAACAGCCCAACTTTCACTTGGTTCTCCAGGTAATGCGACAGGTCCCGAGTCAAAATGTTGAAATTTAAGTCCAGCGAGATCATTGCAAGGTCCCTGGTGTTTCAGGTACTGCGAGGACAGCGGCCAGCTCTGGTGATACGCGGCTGTGTGTGCCTGCGAGCCCACAGTGAAGGAGACAGTCAAGGGGACCCGATGAGGACAGAGATATATAGGTATCAGCGACAGGTGGCGCTCTTTGACCGGCTATGCAGAACAGGGAACTCAGAATCATCCCTGCGCCCCCTGCAGTCCACAGACCCGCAGTGCAGCACAGGGATTGGAAAGCTGACGGTTCAGCCAAAAACTAAAGCGAAACTAAAGCTGGCGAATTAAATCAATAAAAAGGTGTTTGGAAAAACAGCAGCAACATCACTGTGCACATTGACCTCCAGAAAATACACTTACTGCTGTGGAAGTACAGGGTGAAATTAATTTACTTACCAAGCAAAACAGGCAAATGCCCCAGCGGGTACACACCTCCATGGGGACCAGTGGAGGTGTTTACCTTGTGGAAATTTGTATAGTTTAATTTAATTGGAGGGGCCTTATGGCAACTGTTTTCCAATCTATTCCCACAGACAGGCAACCTGGGCTAAAAAAAAACAAAAAACTTCAATACATTATTATTATTATTATTATTTTCAGTTTTTCACAAGTCCAAAAACAGGGAATCACTGGGCTTAAAGAGCATTTTTGATCCAAGGGCCACACAAAGGGTTACAATCATTCAGTATATTGAATATGTATATTCAGCTGGATTGGAAACCAGTGTAATCTAATCTGATTGTTTTTGGATTACCTTTAAATAAAAAATGAAATGATGTAATTTTTTAGAAAGATGTTTTTACTGTGAATAAATGCATTTTGTACATTCAGCTTGTGCAACTGACCTGATCAAACAGCCTTTCAAAAACAGTGCTTACACAAAGTACTGGTATATTGTGTGTTTTCTGTGCATGTTTATGCTCATTATTGCAGTACTTTTTACTTGCAGTACCCTATGGAAGGCTTTGCTCTCGGGACCCAAGAGAGCAATCATTTAAAGAATTGTTCTTTCACTTGGAGTGTAAATAAAAAGGAACAAAATCTCCAGTACAAACAAATGTTAGATCACCATGAAAATAGCTAGCACGCTAATAACACGAGAGACGTTTTTGGGATAAAGTAGAACATATTCATATGAGAATTAGTCCTTTCAATTTTTAAACAGACAATTAAAAAAATAATCTAATCTCACATTTTAAAATGTAATCTGGGGTAATTAAAGTTTAATAGTTTTACAATCTGGTACATAATTTTGTATACAAGGAAAACATAAGCTGATGAGTACCTGTAAGGCTGAAACTGCTTACAATGAATATGGAAGTTACCTTAACCCTTGTATGGTGTTCGGGTCTGTGAGACCCGTTTTCAGTTTTTTTCAAAAGAAAAATTAAACAATTATTTTTTCAATCTGAAATTCATTGGCTTTGGCTTATTTTCTGTGAAGAACATAAATCCGAACTAATTTTCAATGACCTCATACTGTACCTCCCCCCACGCATTTACATTACATACAAGGTGTTCGGGTCCACTGGACCCAGGTCTAATAAAAGTGTTGAAAGTGTAGGTCCTGTGTTCCCACACTCTGTCTTCCTCCTTTCTGGTGCTGCTGATAGTGTTTTCTTCCCCTCCTGCTCCCACACAAAGTTGCAGCATTGTTGTCTGCTCTTACATTCCCACACATTTTACCCTCTTTCTTGAGGGATCCAAATTTTATTTTCTCATACCCTGTCCCACCTGCAAATTAGGGGCATAATACTATAAATAAGACTTTGCCAGTGTGGTTCTTTATCACAACTGATCAAGATGGCAAAAGATTATCTGCTGCGAGGGCCATGCAATTGATTTTGGAAGAGAGAGGAGCTTTGGATGATGTTGACAAAGAGGTTTCAGAATATTTCACATTTCTGAAAATTCAGAGTCTGACAGTGACTTTGAAGAAGACGATGAGGTTGAGCACCATTTAGTAACAAAACAAAGACGAGTACCCCATCTGCAGCCAGCTCCAGGACCAGAACAAGCCCACCAGACAGCAAGTGAAGAAATATGGATGTCAATAACTGGTGAAACTGAATGGTCTTCTTGCCCAAGAAATGAGCCACCCTGCAGAGCTGTTACTGTGATAAGCCAGGGCCAACACGGCTGGCAGTTACTCATGTGTAGGACATCAAGTCTTCATTTGAGCTTTTCATCCCAGATTCCATCCAGAAAATTATTCTGGATTTCAGTAATCTAGAAGGAAGGTGTGTTTTTGGAGAGAGGTGGAAGGAGATCTAAGAACCCCAAAGGCCTACTTTGGGGTTCTTATCCTTGCAGGAGTTTTGAGGTCCAAAGGGGAATCCACAGAATCCCCGTGAGATGCAGAAACCGGCAAGAACCTTTCCGTGCATCAATGTCTCTGGAAAACTTCCACAAAATTTCCAGGATTATCCGATTTGATAACCGAGACAACAGACCAGCTCGACGGCAGAGAGACAAGCTAGCTGTCATCAGGACAGTGTGGGATAAGTGTGTGCACTACCTCCCCCTGTTTTACAACCCTGGGCTTAATGTCACCATTGATGAGCAGCTGATCCCATTTAGTTGTGAAACATATTGCTTCACGTGTAAATGTGTTGTGTCTTTCCACTCACTCCACTTGATTATAACTGATTTATTTTTTTTATAACATTTAAAAAAAAACGAGAAGCATATTAATTCATAAATGTGATCTAACAAAGGTAAAGGGAAAAAATTTACCATGTTTGCTGTTCATATGGCTTGTAATTGGGATGAAGTAAACATCTGATGAGTAATTTAACAAAAAATTGTTTGATAGTGTTAATTTGGAAAGCCAAAACTCTGGCGGGTCCACCAGACCCATGAACACTGGCTGAGTAACAAAAATATGAACACCACACAAGGGTTAAATATGTTCTAGTGTAGGTAAATGTAGTTTAACATTTTTTATTGGTGAGCTTAGTTTTCATTCAGTAATTCTTCACTATCCTATCAATATATTTGGTATTTGACTGTACAGAAAGAAAAACTCTAAAAATCATAATAAATAAATGGACAATCAATATGTGTCTTGATAACTACAGTATACATTATTACTCAGTTGAAACAATTAAAAAAGGTGCCCTCTGACTTACCCATTCATGACTTATGCATTTTCTGTGTGTTGGATCCCATTTTGTTCTAAATTCGTGTCAATTCATATGCAAAAAGCCCACCAGTCAAAAAACTGAAAGAACTGTGGTCTTGTATGTGGAAGTCAGGAGAGGCGCTAAAGTATGTGAGGGTGGTGCAGGACATGTATGGAGACAGTGAGTGTCCTGTGCAGTAGTAATAACAGATGTGGTCAAGTAGGAGTCTCAGTACATTATGTTTGCAAATGACACTGTGATCTGTAGTGAGAGTAGGGAGCAGGTGGAAGAGAACTGGGAGAGGTATAGGTACTGGAGAGAAGATGACTGAAAGTCAGTAGAAGCAAGACTGAATACATGTGTGTGAACAGGAGGGAGTCAGGTGGAAATCTGAACGTGCATGAAGGTAAATGACAACCATCCAAAGCAATAGACAGCACAAGAGAGTCGAAGAAGAGAGTGCAGACAGGGTGGAGTGGGTGGAGTGGGTGGAGACGAGTGTCAGGGGTGATTTGTGACAGAAGGGTAGTAGCAAGAGTGAAAGAAGTTTTACAATATGGTAGTGAGACCTATGATGTTTGGTTTGGAGACTGGGAGGCTAACAAAAAGGCAGGAGGCAGAGCTGGAGGTTAGAGCGTTCAAGATGTTAATGGATGGACAGGATTGGTAATTTGAGTACTTCAGAGGGACATCTCAGGATGAACAATGTGGAGACAAAGTTAGAGAAACAAAGAGGCTGAGATAGTGTGGACATGTGCAGGGGAGAAACAGCGAAGGAGGGCATCCAGAGAGTTTGTGTAACAGATGAGGATTAAAGAGATGTGAAATGAAGGCAGAAATCCAATAAAGGAAGAAGCTGAAAGATACTACTACTACTACTACTAATAATAATCATAATAACGATGATCATGATCGTCATTATGATTATAATTATTGTTGTTGTTCTTTACTAGTGAAATCGCTTAAATTAGAATGTGGGAGAGTTTAAATTGTCATTCTGATTGGAAAATTACTGAAGCAATTAAATGGCAATATATAAATGTTCATCACCAAAAGATTTAAAACCCTGATATTATAATATGTATCAAAATGATTGCCATGTATTAAAATTATTTTAGTAAAAATAATAATGTACAAAATGAAACCAACACGAAAACAAAATAAATAAAAACGAGGAATAATCACAATAAAAATAAAATAGAAAATTAAGAAAAAATTAATAGTTAAAGAAAAACACGTTAAGAGCATAAAAAAACGTAAAAAACCCCCAAAACAAACAAAAACCGTGTAATAATCGGTAATACATGTATTATGAGTTGGCGATGGTCCATATGCTCGAGCGTATTACAGGTGCGCATGCGCAATGGCTGGACTCGCTTGTTTTCCAAGCCTCGCGTCTTCGTGCTTTATCGTCCAGCTCCGGAGCTAGTTGTTGCTTGTCTGAGCGGTGATTGACTATAATGGCGACGCGATTATTCTGAGAGTAGTCTATGGCACCGTCTCTAGGTGATAAAGGATACATGTCGGAGGGTTTTTTCTGCATCGCAGACTATAATAATAAGGACAAGCAACATCGAAAAGGAGCACATTCACTCCAGCCACAGGGAGCCAGGAGAGCTTTATCCTGCTAGCTGCGATAGCTAGCAACTCCGCTCACTAGCCTGCTAAGTTGAAGAGGTGGGATTCAAGTGTGTGGACTGGAGGAGAGGGACTGGCAGTTTTCTGAGTACTGAGATCTATCTGCTCTAGCTGTTGGCTACTTTGGGGTATTAACTTCCTCACTGCCAGAGGCAACACTTGGACGCCACTGGCTCGAGGTTGATGCTAGCTTGTTGTAATAGTTTTTGGGAGAGGATCCAGAATCCTTCTTGGGCAGCTAACTACAGCTACACACAGCTAA